TTACAGCCTTATGTCAAATTAATTGCCCAGAACAAGGCAACAGCAACAACAACAACAGTTGCATCTAATACGAGTCAAGCAGAAGCTCGACTCCCTCCAATTAATTTACCCACTTTCTCAGGAAAAGATGAGGAAGATTGGGACGAATTTTGGAACAAATTCGTTGACCTTGTAGACTCAAAACAATCTTTACCAAAGAGTAGTAAATTCTCTTATTTGCAAGGCCAATTATCAGGTGAGGCTAAAACAGTAGTATCCCATCTGAGATTAACTAATGACGGCTATGATCTGGCAGTAAAACTCCTCAAGGATAATTATGCTGATCCAGAAGTAAGAACATCACATTTAGTTCATGAGCTGTTGCATTTACCCCCACCGGAGGCTTCAGCTGATTCACTCCAAGTCTTCAAGCTGGAGGTAGAATCATTGATCAATGCCCTCAGCCTGACAGCAGATACAAACGGGGCTGAGTGGGTCTTGAAAATAATTGTCCAGGAGAAAATACCTAGGGACATATTGAGACAAATGAGTGCTCATTACAATAAAAGCATCTTATCCATGAATGAAATATCTGAAGGTTTAAAGTCAGTAGTTCATCAATTACGAACACATGACAAATTAAAACCACCAAGTAAACCCTCAGAAACCAATAATAGTAAACCACAGAGTACCAAAGGTACTCCAAATCAATCTAGACAATATAATTCAACACCAAAGTGGAACAGTGGCAGTGTGGGCGTATATGCAGTGGGACCCTCCAAGCCTATAGTTACTGTGTCACCCAAGAACGTGACACCAAAGGGTACTGGAAGCTATGGAACATGTTTGTTCTGCAATGAGAAACATTCAATGTACCACTGCTCTAATTATCCTGATAGTGACGCCCGTGTTGAGCGACTCAAAGATTTGCAACATTGCACGAGGTGCCTCAGGAAACATAACATCAAGGACTGTGATACCCAATTACACACCTGTAATAGGTGTAACAAAGGTCAACACCATGCAGCATTGTGCAGAGACACCAAAACAACGTCTCCAAACCCCAAGGTGGAAGATAGCATTCCCACCACAGTACAGTACTGCAAGGTGCAACAAACAAAGAGTGTCCAATCGGCAAAGTCTAAAGGTAATACGACTTTGCCTACTGCCCAAATTACCATCCTGAATAAGAGGGCCAAGGTCCATACCCGTGGGTTGTTTGACCAAGGATCCCAGAGAACATACATCACTAAAAGGTTGGCAGATGAATTACAATTAAGGCCTGTAGCCCAGATGTCATTCAACATCTCAGGGTTTGTAACAGATGCAGGACCTCAAGTCTACCAGGTGGTACAACCATCAGTACGTTTAGGCAGGTACGTCTGTCGAGTACAAGCCATTGTGGTGGACAAAATACCAGTAGACCTACAAGTTCAAGGTCTGAGAGCAACAGCCAAATTCCTGAGAAATAGAGGAATAAAATTGGCAGATAATATTAAGTCTGATCACCTCACCGACTTCGGTCTCCTTGTAGGGACAGACTATTGTCATCGATTCATCGGTAGCCCTACTAAATATCAGGGTATAACCATGTTAAACTCTGCAGGAGGTAAATTACTCTCAGGCCCAGTATCAAGCCTGAGGAGACCTATGCCTGCAGATAAACAATACCAGTAGAAATCTATATTTGTCAGCTGATTATATTTCTCCAGTTGCATTATACTAAGGAGATTACAGCTGACTATACTAACAGAGGTTGATGTTAGTATCATCATTTAAAGCTGAAGATGAGTTCATGAGGCTTCAGTGGCAAATCAGTGAACAGTAGCCTAAAACAGCTACAAGTCACTGCGACCAATGTCACTGAACCCACTGCAGTCTCAGAACCATACTTTACTTTAATGATGAGCTATTCAATCTTCTGAATCAATTAACTAAATTAAACCCCAATAAATATGATGACTGATTTGATACATTTATTATTTAATCAAGATGTATTCCATGGGCCTCAGTGTTTATATCAGTGACCAGTTACCTGAAGAAACTTCAAGTTATATCCAATGTCACTGATCTCACTGCAGTCCTGAATCATACTTGACTGTAGTACTTGATCACATCCAGTCTTCTGGGTTAAATAATATGTAATAAGGCTTGAATATTAGCCTTTCAAGAGTTGACAGGGAAATGAAATCGCATTAGACTTCTAACCCCTACAACTCTAGTACGGGACATCCGTCCTGTACGAACAGACACACAAATGTGTGATTACTAACTACTAACATCAAATTAATGTAATAATTCGAAGGAGGAGTATCGGTGTTCGTCTGTTCTAAACAGGACTTCGACCCGTGAGCAGCCCCTGGGGAATTATGTCGGAAAATCCGACACCATTTAATATCATACAGACAATAGCTGTATTACCAACAAGTTACCCATAGAAAACGTAACTTGTAGTGGAATTACCGTCTATAGAAAACGGGATATCATCACCACATACTATTATAATTCACCAGCTATTCTGCTGGGAATTATTCTTAAATACATTAGTCTTTGGACTTTACCATCATAAAAACATCTTATATAAATTAACTTAATTATCAATATTAAAGTAGAGTAAATGTGACCCTTCTATCACTTTCTGAAATCTGGATAATGTAAGCCAGGCGTCAGAGGGAGAAGGAGGGCAGCCATTGTTGAGACTAGACCAGAGGCTCACACGGGAGCAAATTCGGCTCCTGTTAAATTTACTTGGACGTAGTGTTATGGAAACCAAAGGTACCATCTCCAACACGATGTCTACAATTCAAGTTAAGTGTCTATCCGAAAATATATATATATATATATATATTATATATATATATATATATATATATATATATATATATATATATATATATATATATATATATATATATATATATATATATATATATATATATATATATATATATATATATATATGTGTGTGTGCTAAATGACAGTGGTCCCAGGACAGAGCCTGGGGCACTCCAGTTACACTTACATCTTTTTTCCATTTTGAATTAACACCATTTACACTACCACTCTATTTCTTTAGTTATAGCTATACCCTAATCCATGTTTATAAAGCACTCTTAATACCGTGAGACTCTATCTTTTTAATCAGTCTTTCATGTGGCACTGTATCAGAGTCTTTGCTAAAGGCAAGGTACGCACTTCACAACTGCCTTAACTTAGCTTGAATAAAATGATGAAATTTTTTTTAAACATGAATGGCCATATGTTAAACCATGTTGTGAATCATTTATTAATTTATATTTTCTACATGAAGACGAATGGTATTTGCATATCAATTCTAGTAATTTTCCTACAATAGACGTTAGGCTAATTGGCCGATAGTTTTACGCAAGTGATCAATCTCTTTTCTTAAAAAAAAAATGTCACCTCTTTAGCAACCTTCCATGACTCCGGCACTCTGTCTGACAAATGATTTATTAAATATGGTAGACTGGCTCGAAAAGCTCCCTTTTGCATTTTTTAAACACCCTGAATAGGTCCATTAAAAGTTCTTCGTCCGTCACTGGGGATTTGTTTGGTTTGAGTTCCCTATTTCCTCAATAACATCCTCAATGGTAACAGCTAAACTAGTCAACCTATCCTCGTCCCAACACACATAGACTTGTTTGGCTGAAGGCATAGTTTTAAGTTCCTCTTTAGTAAATACAGAGATAAAATATATATTAAAAATACTACTCATCGCTTTGTCATTATCTGTTATCTGACCAATGTTAACTTTTAATGGACCTATCCTCTCACTAATCTTTGTTCGAATTAACTGAAAAAAACTTTAGGATTTGTCTTTGCTTGCCCTGCTATGGGAACTTCGTAATTTTTTTTTCCCCCGTTATCTCTGTTTTTTAAGGTGCATGTGGAGACTTTTCCAAATATTAAATATAGTAAAAAAAATTTCCCGTTATTTGGCATCAGCGTCGTAAAAAATTCATCCCTATATGTTAAGAAATGGATTTCTTACGAATTTTTTTTTAAATGCGTGCGCGAAGAGCAGCTGCCAGTAGTGGTAACACCTCCTTCATTTTGCTTCTTAGACTCCTACTGTTTGTGTGAAATATACCCTAATTATATTGTTAATATACCTGACTGAATTATGATAAAATAGAAGATAGCATATTTGTTACAAACGGCCGTTAGCAAAACCACGTTGTGAGTCATTAATTATTCTTTTTTCAAGATGCAGAGGAATGGCTTTTGCAATTGTCGATTCAAGCAATTTTCCAAAAATAGACGTTAGGCTAATTGGGCAATTGCTGGAAGAAAGGAACGCCAGAAACGCTGCGCGTGCTAGTTGCTTTACAAGACTGTAATTACCATATTTGTATCCTAACATTCCTTATGTACATTCTTGTATATGCAAAATTTAATAAATAAATAAATAAAGTGATATATCTTCTTTTTCGCAAAATGGTTCAATCCACGATTCCGGCACTGAATAGCAATATGCCAGAAATGGCCCTCATCTTTTCCCTTAAGCCACAGAATGGAAGTGAGGGAATTCGATTCTTTTTAAATGAAGAATAGTTACTGTTGGTTTGAGAAAGCAAATATTGAAATGGAAAATTTGAAACTTTCCATATACTTTATTGTAAAGGTACACTTCTACTTATGTGCAGTGGCTAAAGAAAAGATAACTTGAGCTTCAAACTAATTTTGATACACTATTATAAAGTCAAGTACATAAATACTAAACATATATTCATGTAAATAACTACAACATCAAGTGGAACATCATTATATAAAAAGACCGGTTGTTACATTAGCTAAATACCTGCCTACTGTTGTAAATTTATTTGTTAGACTTGTCTAATAGCAGTTTAAATAAAAACAGGTAGATTTTTTATTGTTTTATTTTAGGATTTAAAATTCAGATTTAGGAATTACTTACATAAATAATGTTGATTCCAGGAGTAACTCCTGCCTTAGTACCAACCATATGCCATATGTACCAACTATACATATGGCTGCTACTAAGGATTGGTACAGTGACCCGTGTTAGTAATATGACGGACCATGCACATGATACCGGCAGTGGTCTCCATCAGAGTGCTGCTAATATTACTCTCTGAATGAAGAAGTCCATATCTCCCTTTATAAGGGAGATCAATGGTATATATGAACCTATTCTGTGCCTCGGGTGCCAAGTCTTCAGAGGTTAGACCGTACAGTGGTCCTGATTGGCCTATCTCATAATTGATATGTCCACGAGACGTATAGCTCACGGCATGAACAAATACCATAGCCAGAACTTCGTGTTCATGGATGTTTGCTGGAGGAATGTCATTCCGCAACACAGGATAAACGATAGACTGGCCATAGCCTCGGAAAGCTATGAACAGGTCAATGCCACCCACTGTTTCCATGATTGCTTGGAGACCTCGGGTTTCTGGTTCAGTGAAGGGTGTGACGCCTTTGTAAGTCTCACTACAAGGGTCGAATGGAGTGCTGAAGCTCCATTCCAAGTCCATGTCACGGATCAGGCTCACTCCTTTGCACCCTCTATCAAGGTGGGTCTGGCGATTCTTTCTCCACAGCCTAGAGTAAACAATAATGTTAGAATCATGACAATGAATTTTTTTTTAAAAACTAAAAGGTTGGTATTATTTCCCATAATAAACTGCTATATGTATTATCTCATTACTAGTCACGACTTGGGATACACACGCTTCTGGGCAATAATGTGCAGAGTGTATTGTAAAACTGCAGGGGTCTTTATGACCCCTGCAGTTTTACAATACTTCTGCACTGTGTCTTCTGTCTTCACTGTGCGAGGTTGTGTGGCATGAACACTGCACGGTGTTGCATATCGTGTACACTGTTGACTGACCTGGCACTCTCGGAGGTGAAGGAGTAATGATAGCCGTCCGGGTTGACGACAGGCACGATGTACCACTCCGTCCTCTTCAGCAGGTCTCGCCAAGAATCGTCTGTAATCAGAAGGTTCAGGATATACAGAGAGACGGCAGGAGAGATCCATTCACGAGCATGGATACCTGGAACAACGGGATAGAGATTGGGAAATAATTAGCTATTATTTTATATTGTCACTTATCATTATTAACTCTATTATCTTACTTATAATTGTTATATACGCAATATGTTATATATACACTGTATTGCTAACTCTATTGGCTATTCAGGACGAACAAGCTCCTCTCTCTTACCAGCTTCGATCCAGATCTTTGTCTTGGGTTCATCGGAGAATGGATCTGTGACTTTAATCACCAGGACTTGGCGCCCCTCCTCCGTGGTGGCTGCCGTTAGCACCTGCACGAAGCAGCCTCCCATTTCCTTCACCCAGTTTATGAACTTCTCGACGTCTGCCGTATTGTGGTAGACGTTCCAATCCATCGGATGTTCTGTGGGATTCGTTGGGTTATAATATAAAAAACTGTAAACCTTATGCAATATATCATTAACAACATATAGTATGAGGTATTAAAATCTATTGTTCTAGTTTTGTTTAAATTTATGACAATAAGAAAGAGGATTTCCACAGTTTCTTAGCAAACATCTTACATATACGTGAAATATATGGACAGTGTAAATTCTACTAAATCAATCAAATTTATTTATATTCTCAATCATATGCAAATTGGGTATTTGAGCGAGCATGTATTTACCTCTGTTGTTTTTGGTTGTCTCCATAAAAATCCGCTCCTGCTGCACCAGACTCATCACATCCTCCACCTCCACCCAGTACCTCATCTCTGAGGACTCCAGCACCTGCTGTACCAACGTACTCCTACAGGTCGAGCTTACCAGAATCTACAAAGATGACGCATGATTATGAGTGGCCCTCCAATATACTATAAATTACAAAACCACACACATGAAAATGAAGCAACGACAACGTTTCGGCCAAGTATATACACAATTCATGCAAGAAAGTTGTCTGACAGCAAACAGTTCACTTACCTGGGCGTGGGTTGTATTGTCGCCCCAAATATCGAAGTAACCGCCGTTTTCTAGTTCCCGGATCACATCGTTATTTTTTAACACGTCAACACTCCACATCTGTCCACAAACAACATGTTAGATAAAACCTCTACATTTTTGTGGTATTGTGTGCCACAACCCACCACAGTTCCCGACTTCACGGGTACCTATATACTGTTAGATACAAATCTAACTGATGTTAGACAAATCCCAAAGGTTTTCATATAAAAGAAAGATTAATCAATTTACATGGAAATATATGTCTGCTGAGACTGATGGATGCCCACTACTCTCGTAAAAGAAAAGTAAACTTCAGTATGCATTTAAAATTGTTTCGCATAAATAATGCCTTACGTTGTTGAAAGAATGACACTTAAAATTCAAAACCAATAGACACTATTAATGGCGTAAATCACGAAGTAATTACCACGAGATAAATAATGAAAGAAACTCACCTGAATGCTTGCATCGCCCTGGACGAGCGTAGCCAAACACAGGCAAAACACAGGCAAAACAGGCAGCATCTTGGAATACAACAAGCACTGCGGAGACACAAGTACTTAAACCTTTAATCCTTGGTGACACTAAGACACAGAAGCACAAGATGCGAGATTATGCTTCCAGTCGCAGCTTATATTGGCCGGTAAAGGTGAGATTGTAGGGACAGGTGTAATTGGTCCCGCTAGAGTAACGGGTAACATGATTAAAGTATTCAATTTACTGAGAGGGGTATAACAAAAGGAATATAAAAAAGCTGTAAATATAAGAGCAGTTAGTAAATTGGATAAAGTTTGATTTAGAAAATACCTGGGTAAATAGTGGTTTAGAAATGTGATAGTAGATTTCAGGAAAAAATTATCATACCGGATATTGGATCGCTGCAGTGTTTTATATATGAATTTGAATTATACATGAATCAACATCTATTACGTTAACAGTTATGTCTTTAGTAGATTAAACACACTATTTCAAAACCAGTATTTTCGTGTGATTTTCCTGTGTCTATCTTTCCCAATTTATATCCATTGTTTCTTGTTTCAGTTGGTACTGATGTTTTAATATCTTTGTATGCTCATTTCCAATATGTATAAAAACAAAATAATGAAAAAAACTTAAAAAGGAATGTATTCCACCATACGAGGCCGCTCTTATTTATATTCAACAAAACTCGTTCATATTATATATCTAATCTAAGAACATCAGATCATACATATACAAAAATCGGTAAGTAGGGAAATTAACAGGAAAGAAGACTCACTATCACTTCAAGTTTATCTAAATAGGGTTTTGAAATGGTCAAAAGATTAGCAGATGCAGTTTTATGCTGATAAATGTAAAGTTCTGAGGCTAGGTAATGATGATAAATTTACAAGTACGAGCTAGACGGTGTTGAGATTGCGAAGTTTGATTGCGAAAGGGATCTGGGTGTTACGATTAGTAAGAATTTAAAACCAAATTATCAATGCATGAATGTTCGAAATGAGGTAAATAGGACACTGGGATTTATTAATCGAAGCGTTAGTAACAAGACACCTGGTATTGTTCTTCAGTAATATCTTGCTCTGGTTAGGGCCCCATTTAGATTATTCAGTTCAGTTTTGGTCGCCGTACTATAGAATGGATATAACATAAGAACAAGGCAACTGCAGAAGGCCTATACGAGGCAGCTCCTATTTATAACCACCCAATCCCACTCATATACATGTCCAACCCATGCTTGAAACAATCGAGGGATCCCACCTCCACATTGAAAATAAGAACAAAGGCAACTACAGAAGGTCTATTGGCCCATACGAGGCAGCTCCTATTTATAACCACCCAATCCCACTCATATACATGTCCAACCCATGCTTGAAACAATCGAGGGACCCCACCTCCACCACGTTACACGGCAATTGGTTCCACAAATCAACAACCCTGTTACTGAACCAGTATTTACCCAAGTCTTTCCTAAATCTAAACTTGTCCAATTTATACCCATTGTTTCGTGTTCTGTCTTGTGTTGATATTTTTAATACCCTATTAATATCCTCCCTGTTATGTCCATTCATCCACTTGTAAACTTCTATCATGTCACCCCTAACTCTTCGCCTTTCCAGTGAATGCAACTTAAGCTTGGTTAATCTTTCTTCATATGAAAGATTTCTAATTTGGGGAATTAACTTAGTCATCCTACGTTGGACACGTTCAAGTGAATTCATCAATCAATTTATTTTTTATGAAATGGGAGACATCTCCAGTCACGCAGGGTGCAGTCGCACCTCAACAGATCTTCAGTATCATCTATTGGTACTAATAATGGCTCAAAAGGGCCACCACTTATGGGCTATTCATGCCCGTGCCACCTTTTGGGTGGCTTAATCTTGATGGCATTATAGGTGGCATCAATCAATCAATTTATTTTCACTTGAGAATGAACCATGCGTTGAGGAGAACCATGAGAATGAGGAGTGCGTTCGCAGCAGGTTTTCTTTTAAACATGTCTCATTGAATATGGCCGCAGATTCAGTATTTACTATCATCTGGTTTAGGGCTTCTATCCCTCTAATTATTTTCCTAGCATCAGAGCTTAGCTGAAAGAGGAGTTCTCAAAAAACTCATTTTCGTTATTTCAAGGTGAATAAAAATAGTTAATTACTATAGAATGTATTACACTTATTTATACAAATTGCACAAAGTTTCGAACCACTATGGTTCATTCTCAAGTGAAAATAAATTGATTGATGCCACCTAAAATGCCATCATGATTAAGCCACCCAAAAGGTGGCACGGGCATGAATAGCCCATAAGTGGTGGCCCTTTTGAGCCACCACTTGAGCATATATATATATATATATATATATATATATATATATATATATATATATATATATATATATATATATATATATATATATATATATATATATATATATATATATATATATATATATATATATATATATATATATATATATATATATATATATATATATATATATATATATGTATGTGCTAAATGACAGTGGTCCCAGGACAGAGCCTGGGGCACTCCAGTTACACTTACATCTTTTTTCCATTTTGAATTAACACCATTTACACTACCACTCTATTTCTTTAGTTATAGCTATACCCTAATCCATGTTTATAAAGCACTCTTAATACCGTGAGACTCTATCTTTTTAATCAGTCTTTCATGTGGCACTGTATCAGAGTCTTTGCTAAAGGCAAGGTACGCACTTCACAACTGCCTTAACTTAGCTTGAATAAAATGATGAAATTTTTTTTAAACATGAATGGCCATATGTTAAACCATGTTGTGAATCATTTATTAATTTATATTTTCTACATGAAGACGAATGGTATTTGCATATCAATTCTAGTAATTTTCCTACAATAGACGTTAGGCTAATTGGCCGATAGTTTTACGCAAGTGATCAATCTCTTTTCTTAAAAAAAAATGTCACCTCTTTAGCAACCTTCCATGACTCCGGCACTCTGTCTGACAAATGATTTATTAAATATGGTAGACTGGCTCGAAAAGCTCCCTTTTGCATTTTTTAAACACCCTGAATAGGTCCATTAAAAGTTCTTCGTCCGTCACTGGGGATTTGTTTGGTTTGAGTTCCCTATTTCCTCAATAACATCCTCAATGGTAACAGCTAAACTAGTCAACCTATCCTCGTCCCAACACACATAGACTTGTTTGGCTGAAGGCATAGTTTTAAGTTCCTCTTTAGTAAATACAGAGATAAAATATATATTAAAAATACTACTCATCGCTTTGTCATTATCTGTTATCTGACCAATGTTAACTTTTAATGGACCTATCCTCTCACTAATCTTTGTTCGAATTAACTGAAAAAAACTTTAGGATTTGTCTTTGCTTGCCCTGCTATGGGAACTTCGTAATTTTTTTTTCCCCCGTTATCTCTGTTTTTTAAGGTGCATGTGGAGACTTTTCCAAATATTAAATATAGTAAAAAAAATTTCCCGTTATTTGGCATCAGCGTCGTAAAAAATTCATCCCTATATGTTAAGAAATGGATTTCTTACGAATTTTTTTTTAAATGCGTGCGCGAAGAGCAGCTGCCAGTAGTGGTAACACCTCCTTCATTTTGCTTCTTAGACTCCTACTGTTTGTGTGAAATATACCCTAATTATATTGTTAATATACCTGACTGAATTATGATAAAATAGAAGATAGCATATTTGTTACAAACGGCCGTTAGCAAAACCACGTTGTGAGTCATTAATTATTCTTTTTTCAAGATGCAGAGGAATGGCTTTTGCAATTGTCGATTCAAGCAATTTTCCAAAAATAGACGTTAGGCTAATTGGGCAATTGCTGGAAGAAAGGAACGCCAGAAACGCTGCGCGTGCTAGTTGCTTTACAAGACTGTAATTACCATATTTGTATCCTAACATTCCTTATGTACATTCTTGTATATGCAAAATTTAATAAATAAATAAATAAAGTGATATATCTTCTTTTTCGCAAAATGGTTCAATCCACGATTCCGGCACTGAATAGCAATATGCCAGAAATGGCCCTCATCTTTTCCCTTAAGCCACAGAATGGAAGTGAGGGAATTCGATTCTTTTTAAATGAAGAATAGTTACTGTTGGTTTGAGAAAGCAAATATTGAAATGGAAAATTTGAAACTTTCCATATACTTTATTGTAAAGGTACACTTCTACTTATGTGCAGTGGCTAAAGAAAAGATAACTTGAGCTTCAAACTAATTTTGATACACTAT